CACGGAAAAGGGGGGGTCTTCATCGGCCGCGCAATCCAACAAGATGACGTGTTCGTCCTCGATTTCGTCCCCGACAAAGGCACCGCAGACAGCGACGGCATAGTCGCTCTCGCACCTTGGACGCATCCGCCAGACCTCGACCCGAACTTCAGTCCTGAAGGCTTCTGGTACTCTCGTACCATTCCCGAAGCTGAACGCACCAACGCGCTTGCCGTCTTGCAAACACAAGCAACAACACCTGAGTCAGCACCCGTCATCGAAACAACAACTGCACCCGTCACAGCACCAACAACCACCGAACCTGCAGTTGAAGAACCAACCGTCGTCGCAGAACAACCTTCCGAAACTCCACAGCCCGGTCCCTCCGTCGCACCACCACCTCTCATCATCGACACGCCACCGACAGCCGCCCAACAGTTAACGCCAGCACCACGCGCCGTTCATCAAAGTGCAGCAACACACGCCGCCTTTTTCGCTAACGCAGGCTTCTATCAACGCTCCGTCGGTCACAGCGCCTCCGAAGACATCTGGCATCAACGTCTTAGACATCCTGGAAACAAAACACTTTACAGCACAATACGAGCCGGAGTGTTAGACAAGAACGCCCTACTTCTTCCCAACGGACGTGAACTCGAACGACCACGCGGCACTTGCTTCATCTGCCCGGAAGGAGATGTGCCTCACCAACCATTCCCATCACATCACAACCCGAGCGCCCCCGTTTATCAACCACTCGAGAAAGTCTACAGCGACATCCTCTACATACCTCGAACTGAAGGACGTGAAGATCTGAACTACGTCATCACCTTCATCGACGCCGCAACGCGATATGTCTGGCACGTCAACTTACCGTCACGAGACATGGCTCTAGAAGCCTTCACAGCCTGGCTACATGTCGCTGAAAGAGAGTCGGGAGCGAAACTGAAGAGTTTTCAGTCAGATGGCGCAAAGGAGTACCAGTCAAACCACTTCACGCAGTTCTTGGCAGAAAGAGGCATCAAACGCCTCATCTCTCTTCCTTACGCTCACCAACAGCAGGGTGTGGCAGAAAGGATGAACAGGACCCTGCAGACAACCATGCGAAAGCTGCTACGTGGAACTCGACTGCCCAACTCAGAATGGCCAGCAGCGATGGACCACGCTGTCCTCCTGCACAACTTGCTGTCCTCGTCTTCACTGCCCAACAACGCATCTCCGCACCTGTTGTGGACTGGGAAGCTGGGCAACACAAAAATGTTAAGAGTTTTTGGGTGTATGGTACAGTACCGCCCACACACTGCACGCGCAGGGAGATTTTCGCAACGTGCACAGTGGGGTCTACACCTCGGGCTGGCAAAACATTACGAAGCCTGGCGCATCTTCGACGTTCACACAAAGGAAATAGTAGCAGCGCGTGACGTTATCTTCTACGAGCGACTCACCCTCAACCATTACCTAGACAACATCGCACGCCACGTCGACCCCACCGGCGGATTTTCTGGTTCTCGAGCCTTTGCTTCACCCTCCGACGCTGCTGACTGGGAAGAAGAAAACGTCGACGGCGTCTGTGAAGCTGCTGGACCCCTTCCCTACTGCTCCGTCCCAATCCCCACGGACGAGGAAAATCCTCGCGACAGCAACAATGCCGACGTCTACTACCATTTCGCCGACACTGGTTACGTAACACCCCAACCCGTCAACACCGACATCTCTGAACGATACGGCCCCGGATTCGCACCTGATCCTGAAGCGGGAGACGAAGCAGTCTATCCTGAGGATCCCTTGCTGAACCGTCACACCCCCAGCGGACTCCAAGTCCTGGGACTCGTCGCTGCAGTGCACGGGCCTTCGTCGCCACCTGAAGAGCCTCGCTCTGTCAAGCAGGCTCTAGGGGGGGGAACACAAAGAAAAATGGCGCAAAGCCATGGAAAAGGAGTTAAAAGCGCTTTCAGACCGCAACATCTGGAAGATCGTCCCTGCATCACTCGCACAAGACAGACCCATTCTCTCCGGAAAATGGGTATTCCGGATCAAAACCAACTCCGACGGAACCATCGAACGATTTAAAGCTCGATGGGTCGTCCGCGGATTCGACCAAGAGTATGGTCGCGACTTCACTGAAACTTTTGCACCAGTCAGTCGACATACTTCCCTGCGTATACTCCTCGCCATCGCCGCCTCACGTCGCCGCCCACTCCGACAAATCGACGTCGCCAACGCTTTTCTGTACGCCCCAGTCGACGCTGAAATCTTCGTCGAACAGCCCCATGTCAGAATCCCAACCACTAGACCATTGGGATAAAAGGGCTTGTTTAAGTAGCGGGTCAGTGCGCCCATAACCCCCCAGGAAACCGTGCCTGTAACCCTTCCCTAGGATCAATCGGGGATCACCAGTGGACCTCTGACACCCCCCTGCACTGGGATGCCCGAAGTGCATACACCGGGATTCGAACCCGAGACCTTCGCTCTGATACCATGTCAAAATCCCAACCACTAGACCATTGGGATAAAAGGGCTTGTTTAAGTAGCGGGTCAGTGCGCCCATAACCCCCCAGGAAACCGTGCCTGTAACCCTTCCCTAGGATCAATCGGGGATCACCAGTGGACCTCTGACACCCCACGGGTTCGTCGACGACTCTTCCCTCGTCTGCCAACTACTTAAATCACTATACGGAATTAAGCAGGCACCGCGACTCTGGCAGCACTACTTGCACGCACGACTTAAACGCATCGGATTCAACCAACTGCCCCATGACCAGGGCATGTATCGCCTCACTCACGACAACGACTACGTCCTGCTAATCGTCTACGTCGACGATTTACTTTACATCGGGTCAACTACCACCATCGTCACCTGGTTCGAAAGGGAGCTTCAGACAGATCTCTCCCTCACAGTCTCACCCAACGTCACGCAGTACCTAGGGCTCAGCATCCTCGACGAAGACAACGCCATTTGTCTCAGCGCCTCAAAATACGCAAGCACTATTGCCGAACGCTTCTGCATCACACCGACGCACGTCACAACACCCTACAGTCACCTATCGCTCGATCCAACCGAAGAAACCAACCCACTGCTGTCTGCTGGAATCCAGGAATATCAACAGAAACTGGGCTGCCTACTCTTTGCCGCCGTTACGTGCCGACCGGACTTATCCTACAGCGCCAGTCAACTAGCGACCTACCTCAAGCGCCCAGAACATCGTCACCTCAAGGAACTCAACCGTGCCCTTCTCTACTTCATCTCGACGCCAACAGTTGGCTTAACGTATCACAAGAGCACGACGACCGACCTAAAACTACTCGGCTACGTCGACGCTGATCACGCTGCTGATCGTGTCGATCGTCGCTCTCGCACCGGCTACATCTACCGTCTCGAGCCCGTCGGAACTATCTCCTGGCAATCAAGTAAGCAGGAACTCGTCGCACTATCATCTGCTGAAGCAGAGTATATTGCTCTCTGCACCGCTACCAAGGAAGGTCTGTACCTGCGCGAACTGCTGGAAGAAGCAAAAATTGCGAAAGTACCCAGCTTCTCGCTTTTCTGCGACAACCAGTCCGCGATACGAATCGCGAACAAGAATGGCTTCGCCAACAGAACCAAGCATATCGCACTGCGATACTTCTTCGTGAAAGACGAAATTGAGAAGGGAAAACTCCAGCTGGACTACTGCCCGACCACCGAGATGGCAACAGATTATCTCACCAAGAAGCTACCAAAGGGGAAATTCGAGTACTGCATGCTGCTCACCGGATTGGGCCACGTCACCGAAGCTGACCACGTCGACACTCCAGAAACGAAGGGGAGTGTTGGGAATATAAACGCATGACTTAGTGCGTTTCTGTAGTATCGAACCTCACCCGATACTGAAGCACAACAAAAGGAGTATGAAGTCGAAAAGGCGCGTACCACATCAAACCGCAACTGGAAGTTGAGAGCCGTAACCGCCTGGAGGTTACGCAACAGCAGGCGACGCTTCAGTAAACAGTAACCGCCTCGATAGTCGAAGCGTTACGCGTCTCGATAAACATAACCGCTTCCTGTAATCTATCTCTTCTATATATTCCTGTATGCTCTTTGCTTTAATCAATTACTTGTTCTCACATACCAGCACAAGTACATTCACTCAAGTCTTCCGCTGTGCTACTCTAGCACCTACTAGCCTATTCTCTGCAAAGATCCTAAGGCTGAAATCCTCAGCCCAACATCGCGCTGCATTTGTCAAGTCGAAGGTCGCTGACCTTTGACCTTCGCGTAACATCCAGCGGTTACTTCAACCTCCGAGGGTTGACTCGTTGGTGCCTCAATATGCTCTGCTTCGCTTGTGCCTTGGTGTTTCGACACGACAGAGGCGCTTAAGATTGTTTGTTCCCAACATATGGTACCCCAACCAACCCTTATCAACCAACACTTTCATTCTTGACACGATAATACACTACTAGCCAGACATGCAATCATACCTATAAGCAGGCTTCTCGATATCAGGGTGATTCACCCTTATGACCCTTACTATAAGGGCGGGTTTGACTATGCACCCTTTTTTACAAGACTGGTTTTGTTCTAGACCCTTACAAAAAAAAAAAGTGATCGATTATACGACACTGATATTTCAGAGCTATGTGGTGTAGTAGCACTGATGAAATCGAGTTCTATCTACGGTAAGAGAGGATACCAGGGATGGTTGCGTAAAACGTATTAGTTGCACAAGATGCCCGGGGTTGATTTTGATCTCGGGGATTCCATATAATTATGACTACTTAACACACTGCCACATCAAGATCCTACATACTGTGGAAGTAAAAATAATATATACATGATTAAATTTGTTTGCACCCTGATTTTTAAGAGCAGTTTTTGTGAAGGACCCTTACTGAAAGAGTCAAGGCGGGTGTTGGCATTACGAGAAAGAGTAGCCCAAATCCTATCCAGAGGCCTGCCTAAAAGAATAACACATTCTGACATCTACGCACACTTTCCAACAGCAGCAGCGAATGCACTTCGGCTTTCACGCCATCACAGCAGGTCATGGCATTTCCACGCCATCAAAGCACAACAGGTCATTAAGACGATCAATCTCCGTATCCAAAGTCGTAACAGACTTTTTCTGCACCTCCAACTCTCGATCCACCTGACGGGGACCAGCATTTCTGTGTGCGCCGCCCAGCTCCACCAGCACGTCCTCCAGCTCGGCTGCAATCACCCCCATGACCGGCCGCGTGGCGCTTTGCTTGTCGGTGCATCGCAGTGCCAGCTGCACCACCCTCAACACTAACTCATCCCGCGCCTCCATGCGCGCATCCTTGAGGCCAGCCACCGCCCCCTTGTTGCTGCCGAATTGTGCCAGCTGCTGCTGGACCTGGTGGTGATCAGCAGCAGAACAAGTTTGTGGGGTTGGAACAACTCGAGTTTGAAGAGTGGAGACGACATGTCGATGCGTAAGAGAGAGAAGGAATTGAAGAGCGGAAACACAGACACACACTGGCACTCTCTCTATCTCCTCACGGACATACCCAGGGAAGGATGTGCAGCTGCTGACCCGCCTCCTCATCGAAGGGAATGCTGAAAGAATCGGTGATGACGTTGCGGCCTGTCATGAGTTCAAGCATGAGAATGCCGAAGCTGCACACCAGGACACCCCAAGGAGAGGAGAGGCGGAGATGAGAGGAGAGGAGAGGAGAGGAGAGGAAGTAAACCATAAGACGCGTCCACCATCAGAAAGTAACCAAAATAAGGACATAAGAGGCTCATGGCTCACCTGTAGACATCAGTGGCGGTGGTGGCCTTGTTGGTTGCGGCATAAGAGGGGTCCACATAGCCCGGTGTTCCCAGCACTCGCGTGCTCTGTAGTGTTGTGCCCTCGCCCTTCCTCACAAGCCCAAAATCTGAAATCTTAGTCTGCACTCATGCATAGAAGAGAATGGATATAGGCAGGAGTGGATGCACGGTGAAATCTACTGGAATTTGATGTCCTGTCCACCCATGTGGATGCACTCACACATCAAGTACATGAGGCGCACACACAGGCCACCCATGTGTGCATGCCCGTTCATAGTAGTGCAGCTGCACGCACGGTTTGGTTGAGCAGGACGTTGAGCAGACTTACCTGCATGCGGTCATCAAGCAGGATGTTGGCGGGCTTGATGTCGCGGTGAATGATGGGGAAGCTGTGGAGATACTCAAAGCCACGTGCCGCCCCCACCAGCACTCCCACCCGCTGCTCAAAGCTCAGCGGTGTTGCTGCCTCTGCAGGGGCCAGCGCATAAGAATGATGGGCGAAGGGGATGCGAACGGACGGAATGGAGGGGTGGAGAGAGGAGTCCGTGAGAAGGAGGCAAGAAAATGGGAGCATAGCTAAGGAGGGATACCTGCCAAGAAGGCCTGTATCAAGGAGGCATGCATGAAGAGGCATACCTGGAAGGCAGCCAACTAGGTGGGAGCGTAGCTGCTAAGCACATGCGTGCACTGTTAGAATGCACACCTTTCTCGATCCATCGCGAGAGGTCCCCGTTGGGCATGAGCTCGTAGATGAGGATTTGCTCGACCCTTGTCTTGCCGGTGATGCCGATTGAGAAGCCGAGTAGTTTCACCAGGTTGGGGTGGTCCTTTGTGGCCATCGCACACACCTGCCACGCATAGTACAGCACAGTTCAGTGATCCTTCTGAATCTGCTGCGTGCCGGAATGCCGTGGGTGTGTGACACACACACGAGGTTGGGGTGGTCCTTTGGGGCCATCGTTTATATTTGCCAGGCAGGCATACCAGTGGGCCCCTGTGGATAAAACACACGGTTCAGTGATCCATATGACACAGCTGCCTACCACAATTCTGTGGCTATCGGTCTCGCACGCACACCTCACACAAACAACGTGATACATACAGAATAGGGTGTAGCTTGCACGCACACCTCACACAAACAACGTGATACATACAGAATAGGGTGTAGCTTGCACGCACACCCCACACAAGCAACGCCACGGTGGCGCAGATTTGAGGCCCCGCAGAACTGGAACCCTTGTTTAGCAATGTCTGGATCGCTGTGCAATGCTGGATCCGTGCAGCACAGCAAACCACACACGACCACGGTGGCACACCTCTTTATCGAAGTCGGTGGTGACGGTCCTGGCTCGCTTCACGGCCCACTGAGTGGTGCCATCGGTGGGAGAGACGCCGCGATACACATCACCAAACCCTCCCATGCCCAGCAGGTTGGCCTGGGACCATCCGTTGGTTGCTTTCGCCACCGTCGCCAGTGAATACTCCTGACACACCTGCGCTGCCGCCTTGCTGCTCACCAGCGCTGTGCGGAGGAGCAGACACGGAGAAAGGGCAGGCAGCAGATGTGACTCAGGGTTGAAAAGTTTGGGAAGCCAAGGGAGGAGGCGCCTTGGTGCTCATGCAGGTTGCAGGGAAATGATGGGGGGATCGAAAGAGAAAGGGGCGAGTGAGGAGGCAATGAAGGAGAAGGGGAGGGAGGCACAGGGAGGTGATTGGAGTGGAATGAGAGGAGTATCAAAGAATCATTATGGCAACCCAGGAATCACAGGGCCGGCAAGAAAAGGCAACGTTAGGTGGGACACAGTGTGAGGTGGGACACAGTGTGAGGTGGTGTGAAGTGTGAGGTGGTGTGAAGTGTGAGGTGGTGTGAAGTGTGAGGTGGTGTGAAGGTGAGGTGGTATGAAGTGTGAGGCGGTATGCAGTGTGAGGCGGGACGCACGTTTGTCGAAGCAGTAGAAGTAGAGGAGTGCAGCAAACACCGCTGTGACAACAACAGCAGCCACAATTCCCACAATGACGCCCCAATGAAGTGGCTTGCGCTTGCCGCCTGTAGATGGAATAGGGGTCTCGAATGTTTCTATCAACAAGTAACTGAAACATACGGTACAGCAGAGAAGCACATCTAGGAGTGGAGAGGGCAGCGAAGAATTAAGAGAGAACAGACTGGTGGGTCAAAGGCTCGTGCTTGGATGGAAACACCTCTCCCCATCCTCCCTCTTAACATTCTCAAAAGAAAAGCTTACACGTGGCGCAAAAGTCAGAGCAGGTGCGGCAGAAGCCAGAGGACGCATTCTGAGGCACACCGCAGCTGGTGTAGCTGCCAGGGCATGTGAGACTCGTGTCGTTGGTGTCTCTGTATGGGGCAAGGGAAGAGGCAGAGCCATGAGAAATGACAAACACAAATATATTATGTATTTCATTGTGCTCAACACAACAGAGATGCAAACACATATGACAACTGAGGAGCAGCTAAAGATTCCAGCACACACCGCACAAAATTATGGCACATTTTTGTATATGCAAAAAAGAAGAAAGAAAGAAAGAAAGAAAAATAAAAACGGACAAAAATCTCCACCCATGGTTTTTGAGATAGTAAGAAAAAAGGAGAGAAAACACTGGCGAAAATTTCCACCTTGCACTTACAGCGCTGAGAGCACTTACAGGGTTGTGAGTTGCTTGAGGCCTCCGAGGGATGGCGGAATGGTTCCTTTGAAATGGTTGAAGCTCACGTTCCTGTGGCGCATAAGAGGCCAGGCAGGGGGACACGGAAGAAGAGAGATGTGCCTCAAGCTTGGCAATGGCAGCGGGACGGGACGTGACAATTTGAAGCAAAGGCGAAAGGGTGAAGCAGAGGGATGGGCAACGAGACAAGCAGTGAATGCAAAGAGACCCGACAAGAAAGAAAGCAGGGCCAAGGGACTGACAGGTACGCCAGGGAAGTCATGGTTGTGAGGGACTCGGGGATGGAGCCTGTGAGGCCGTTATTGGGAATATTCCTGCAGTGACAAGGGCACGGAAGGAGGCAGAGAAATGCAGTGAACGACAGGGATGGATGCTTACGGAGAGTGAAGGAATGAGGTATGGCAGGGGACATGCGGGGTTGGCCTTGGAATAGGGATGTAAGGCAGCAGCAAATGAGAGAGAAGGGCAGATGACAGGAGGGAGATGACAAGAGGCAAGAAAGCATTTGCACCCGGTGAAGAAAACATGGGGGACAGAACTGGTGCAACATGGCATGTGCTCTTCCCACACTCGGAGGAGCAGGATGGATGCACAATGCGACATTGAATTGAATCCCTCACTTGAGCGGTGCTCAGGGCAACGACTCGTGCAATGCAATGGCTTCACCAGCCGCAAGACCTTGGGACGGACGGACGGACGGACGGAGGGGTGGACAGACGGAGGGAAGGACGTACAGGAATTGCAAGGCGGGCAGGGGAGTCCCCTCCAGGAAGCGATCACCAAAGAGCTGAGTGCCTGACAAATCCCTGTGCACGCATGCGATTCCGTCCCCCAAAGCAAAGCAACCAACATGCGGCCAGCAGCGAAGCACACGGGAGTGTTGGGAATGGGGGCGCATGAGGCAGTGTGTGAGTGAATGTGCGACCAGGCATGCTATGTGCCACCATGCATGCTGAATGTGCAACCATGCCGAATGTGCGACCCTCATCACCATGAGTATGCTTGTTCCTCTTCTACCCGCTAAGCCACGCCCATTGCCCACTCACACCGTTGTGAGGCTCGTGTGCTTCCTGAGCTCATCAAGGCTGTCGATCCTGAGTGGGTTTGAGCTCAGATCCCTGCCAGAGAGCGGGAGGGAAAGTTTGGAAAAGTCGTTGTGAGGCTGCTGAAATTCGTCTCAAAAGTTGTTGTGAGGCTGCTGAAATTCGTCTCAAAAGTCTTTGTGAGGCTGCTGAGCTTGTTGAACCCCACAAGGCTATCAAAGTTGTGTGGATTCGAGCTCAGATCCCTGCCGTGCCGTGCATATGTGCGCATGAGCAGCGAGCGAGTGGGAGTTCAAGGGGCAACGCATGTGGCATTCTTTAAGAGCCTGTCTCGTGGATTGGCAGGCAGTGTGTCAGAAAAAACAAGCGCGGCTGTGGGTAAGCAGGAGCGCCGCCGTGGAAGCCGTTTATTAGCAAAGCCAAGTCAGCGTGCGGGTGAGAGTAGATGTGAGTGGGTGGGAGTGGATGGGAGCGGACACGAGCGGATGGGAGTGATCAGGGTCTGGCAGTGGGAGAGTGCGGGAGGGCGAAGGGAGAGCGCAGGCAAAGTGGCACAGGATGGTTGTGGAGGGAGCACAGCGCCACATATAGGAGCCTACAGACTCATGCCTCTAGCCACACAGCACAGCATGCAGCCACAGGCATGCCCCACTTGCTGTTGCCTGCATGCACGCAGTATATCCAAACACAGTGGAAGTAGAGGAGGGGAATAGGGAGAGGGAAACAGAACGCCGTACAGTTTCTGCAGGTTGGGGAAGTCGACGCGATAAAGAGGCCAAACGCCTGATAATTGGTTGGAGGGAAGCTCCCTGCATGGGGGGAAGGGGATGCAGAGAGTGAGGCAGCAATGGCTCAGCCGCAGCAGGAGCAGCGGGAGGAGCAGGAGCAGCAGCAGCGGGAGGAGCAGTAGCAGCAGGAGCAGCGGCGGCGGCGGCAGCAGCAGCAGCAGCAGCGGAAGCGGCAGAGGGAGGAGAAGCACATGCGGACGAGCAGCAGCAAAGGGGAGAGAAGAAGAGAAGACGAGCAGAAAGAGGAGCAGCAAAAGCGGACGGGGGAGGGCGAAGGGAAGCAGCAGCAGAAAGAAGGTGCATAGGCCGGTCACTGTGGTGCATTCTGCCGTGGGTGCGTGCGGGGGTTGTGTGGGGTGAGTAAGGGGATTGAGTGTATAGGGGGAGAGAGTGAGTAGAGGGAGTGGGTGTATAGGGGGAGTGGACGCGTAGGGGGACTGAGTGAGTAGGGGGGGCGAGTGAGTGAGTAAGTGGGAGTGAGTTAGTTGAAGGAGTGAGTGCGTGGGTGGGAGGAGTGATGGACTGGGTAGGAGGAGTGAGTGGGAGGGGTGAGTGGGGGTGGGGTGAGTGTGGGGAGTGAGTGGGGGTCTCACAGGTTCACAAGGGCAGTCAATTTGCCCAGCGACCAAAAAACGGTCGAGTTGGTTTCTATGCCACAGGAATCCAATTCCCTGCACCAGTCATGGCAAGAAAGCAAGCAGGTCAGAAGACAAGCAGGCAAGCAGGCAGCTACTCATGCCAGCAACGGAGCATGCACTGGTCTTGTTAATCACCCGCGTGTGCCTTGCACGTGCAGGCATGGGAAGGCTCACAGTCTGGTTAGCTGAACGAGGCTGGCCAGACTGAAATCAAAGGGCGATGTGATAACACATTTCAATGACCTGCACATGCACATGCACATGCACACGCACACGCACACGCACACGCATCAAACCAATAAAATGTGGAAATTTGATGCTTGCAAGCAAACGAACTCCTCTTGCTAGGCCATCACAATGAACGGAAGCGTGCAAAACACAAGAAACGCCTGCCCCTGGCCGCACATGAGCACACCCCACAAGTGCCCCTCTCCTCTAGCCACTCACAGAGCCTTCAGCTGCGCCATGCTGTTCAGTGTGTCCTGGTCAGGATACCGATGGTGAAGTCTCCTGCATGCATGGGGCGAATGAAGCATCGGTGGTTCACAGAAAGATATCAACACGCAGAGAAGCGATGCTGTCGTTCTAGGTGTTTGCTCTGAGTGCCGTTCCGAGTATCGTTCCACATGTTGTTACGACAGTTTTTCCAAGTATTGTTCCAAGTGTCGTTCCAAATGTCGTTGCAAGTGTTGCAAGTGTTGTTGCAAGTGTCGTTGCAAGTGTTGTTTCAATCCAAGTGCAGAACACAAGGCAAGCGTAAATGGACAGCCTCCATCCATATCCGTGTCCTCGCAGTCGTGGTGGTATGGTGGTGTGGGTGGCCTCTGCTGTGACCCATAGAGCAGCACTGAAACTTAAGAAACCCTAGGCACTAGGAGTCAGCAAGCGGCACCAGGAGTCAGGAAGGGGCACCAGAACAAGGTCACATGGGCTGTACCCTGACAAAGCCCCCTTGATGGGAGCACACGCCCACACACACTTACAGCTCTGTGAGGCTGGTTAGGCGCGTGATACTGGTTGGGATCGAAGCCCATAATGGAAGTTGATCGAATCGCCTGGGCAGAGCAGAAAGGGGGAGACCAGAAAGGGACAGAGCAGATAAGGGGAGGGAATGAGAAACAGGGTGGCAGGCAAGAGTATACGAAGCACAAGAGAAGGGACTTTGATGCTTCTGGGTGTACTTCAGACATGGAGGGCCACGCAGCACAAGAGAGTAACATGTGTGGCCAGAGTATTAGCACAGCACAGCACCGTATAGCAGGGCACAGCACAGCACAGCACGGCACGGAAGGGCGCACATGGAGGTGATCATGCCGTCTGAGTCGCATGTGAGGCCTTGCGCTTGTGTGCAGTCGCTCCCCGCCTGCCAGCCTGGGATGGCATTGTTCCACGACGTTTGCAACTCCTGCAGCACCTCGCCTGCCGCGCAGCCAGCAACAGCAACAGCAAGGCAACGGTGAAAACGAAGGGGGAAAACAGCAAAGGAGGTTTGGCTGTGCGCAGACTGGGAGTGCAGGGCGGTGTAGGTAGGTGGTGGCGGTGGGGAAGGGAGAAGGGTCGCAGGACAGGGCATGTCCGCAAGAAGCAAGCAGGACGTGGAAGAATGAGTCTTGTTGATCTTCAATCCGCATTGATTGGAACAATGCCATCCCAAGGAGTCTTGTTGATCTTCAATCCGCATTGATGCTCATCGTAACAGCTTCGCACGCATAGAGCTTCTCACAAACAGCTGGCTGACTGACCAACCGATTGACTGACTGACTGCCTGACTGGCCGGGTGGTGGGCTGGCTCCGGAAACGAGCGTGGTCATGATCTCACCGTGCAAGGCGGTTGAAGTGATTGAATTAAGTCCCATAGGGATGTCTAAATGTGCCCAGCGGGGTTCAGAAGAGTGATCAACGCACCTTGCGATTCAGCGATGGGCTGTGCGAGCGACGTGCACGGCAGGCAGCAGAAGCATGCGAGCGCCGCAACTAGCGCCAAGATATCGTGACGGGAGCCGCGATTCACCGCCATAGCCGGCAGGTTGAAGCGTCCGCCTGACTGCGATAGGAGGGACGACTTGGAGCAGCAGGCTTGGCGGTCTTTTTCTAGAAAGCCGCTCCTACCCTTTTTCGGCAACCGACGGATTCAGAACACCGGCCTGCTTGTCAGATTTCTAACTCTACCGCCACGTGGCAGTCGGACGGCCTAAAAGGGACGTTGGGAACCTGCCGTGCGTTGCACCGAGCTAATTCCGTATTGTTATTATCAGGAATTCGCAAAGGGCGAGCTGGATGCGTGTTGAACTCCAGGTAGCTTATGCGGGGCTCGGCTCGTAGCGTGCGTGAGAACACGAACAAGAGTCTAGCTCGATCTGGTGGGACGATTTGACTCTGGCTTGCTCTGATATAGTGCTTCGACACGGACGGCTCGCGCTATTCCGCCTTGCCTGGCGTGCTCGTTGACGGAGACAGGGAAGGGACGGAGCAGGAAACACTAGAGAGCAGCGCAGGAGAAGAGCACTGCGAGAACGCAGATCCCGTGAGGAACAAGGCAACGTGTCGTGAATATAATGGAATGGCATTCTGACCTCGGCCACTCCACCTGCAGACTTTTGTCTCTCCGCGTCGCCTGCCGCGCGCGGAAGCTTCCCCCCTGGAACAATGCCCAATCCGTTCCCCCAAACAACACGCTACGGGTGGGGCCATGAATGCGCGTCTAGCTCAAGTATCTGCTCCGCAAATAATTCTGCGTTGTGGCAAGCGTGTCACACACTGATGCCGGCGTGGTCGTATCACACAACCTTCTGTATGTTTGTTTCGCCGCGACGCAAAACTGTGAACTTGAAAACCGCTTTTCACCGTCTGGAACCGTCCTCAGCCGCGGAGCGTAAACTGGGTGTGTACAAGCTGACTGGCAATTATTGATCCTGAAGTGACGCGAGAGTAACTATTTGGCGAACATCGCGAAATGTTTATTGAAAGCAATTTTGCCTAATTCCTTACTGAGGCACCCTATGCACGTACAATTCCAACTTTCAGAGTTGAGGCTCGGTCCGACGACCTCGCCTTCCGAACGTCCCTCTCGTCGCCTTCGGATTTCCCAAACCCAGATCTGCACCCAACCTTGCGCGGTCCCACGACCTCGACCTAGCTAGCCTTCGCTATATCTATGCTAGGTCTCATTATTCAGCTAGTTGATGTAATCACTTCCGCAATATTGCATTCTGCGCACTCTTCTTTCTTACAACTTATAGCACTTGGTATCACAGCTACTTTCCTAGGTTACCCTCGCGTTTCCAATGTAGTTTTAGTAGAGGGTGCGATAGACTTGGTGGGCTGCAAAGCGGTCGGCTGAGAAATAGATACGATTATTTCGCTCCGACTACGCTAGCGTTTGCGCCTTTATCAAAGTCATAAAAATTACTGTGAACCCCCGCCCATTAGGATGAGTCTGAGAAACATGAATCAGGCTGAGTTTGACACGTTCATGCAGGACTTTCGGGCGATGCAGGCCAACTTGCAGACTATGTCTCGCGAGGTGGAGCGCTTGAAGGTGGAAAACGCCGAACTACGCCGGGCGCGAATTGAAGCGCGCCAGGAGTCGCCCGTTGTAGACGAAGCTGTCAGAATATTATAGCTTACTCATTTATGTAGGCTATAGTGGGGTATCCCATAGGGGGTACAACCCAGTTAGGGTTTCCTATTTGTACTCACTTCGTTCATAGTTCACGCATTCTCTCGTTCACTTCTTGTCATGGAATCAGAGCAGGTTCCCCTGTGGGAACTGTGCTTCGGGCCCACCACCTAGAACTTTTTTTTTCTGCCCTGGCGCCCGCCCTAGCGCCCGCCCTAGCGCCCGCCCTTTCGAGCCGCCCGTTAGCGCCGCCCGTTAGCGCCGCCTGTTAGCGCCGCCCGTGCGGCTGCCCGTTCGCGCCGCCCTTTGCGCAGCCAGTAGCGCCGCCCGTGCGGCCGCCCGTTAGCGCCGCCCGTGCGGCCGCCCGTAGCGCCGCCCGTGAGCCGCCGCCCGTAGCGCCGCCCGTGAGCCGCCGCCCGTCGCGCCACCCTTTAGCGCCGCCCGTGCGCCGCCGCCCGTGAGCGCCGCCCGTGACGCAGCCGCCCGTGAACCGCCGCCCGTGACGCCGCCGCCCGTCCCGCCGCCCGCCCGTCACGCCGCCCGCCCGTGAGCCGGCGCTGCCCGCAAACCGCCCACCCGTGGGCCTTCAGCCCGCCCGTGAACTGCCGACGCCGCCCGTGAGCAGCCGACGCCGCCGACGCCGCCCGTGAGCCGCCGACGCCACCCGTGAGCCGCCGACGCCGCTGCCGCTGCCGTCGCCCGTGAGCCGCCGACGCCGCCGACGCCGCCCGTGAGCCGCCGACGCCGCTGCCGCTGCCGTCGCCCGTGAGCCGCCGACGCCGCCGCCGCCGCCCGTGAGCCGCCCTGGCCGCCCGCCCAGCCGCCCGTGAGCTCCCCGCGCGCCGTCCCAGCCGCCCGTGAGCCGCCACCGAGCCGCCCCAGCCGCCCGTGCCGCCGCCCGAGCCGCCTGAGCCGCCCGAGCCGCCCGGGCCGCTCGCGCCGCCCTAGCCACCCGAGCCGCCCGAGCCGCCCGAGCCGCCCGAGCCGCCCGAGCCGCCCGAGCCGCCCGAGCCGCCCGAGCCGCCCGAGCTGCCCGAGCCGCCAGAGGAGCTGCACTCCTGCTCCTGTCGGGCTACTGCTGCTCCTGGGCTGTGTACCTGCGCCGCTGACCTACCCGACTCTTCCTGCCCGGTGAGACTGTCAGCTGCTGTCATGGCCACCCCCAATGTCCTAGCTTTTGACGCTGAGGGTAGAGCCATTGACTTTGCAGTCTGGATTGAAGACCTGCAGCTGTACTTACTGTGTGATGCGGTCGATGAGGTCTCTCTCTTTGACTTTGTCTCTGGCGCTGTCCCTGCCCCTCCTACTGATGCTGATTCCGCCGTTCGCTCCAAGTGGGCGACCCGCGATGCTGCTGCACGTCTTGCTGTGCGTCGCCACCTCACTTCCTCCGAGCGTGCCCACTTTAGTCAGTGCAAGACCGCTCAGGCCTTGTACGACGCTGTAGTTGCACGCTACTCCTCCCCTTCCTCCGCTACGCTGAGCCGCCTCATGCTACCTTTTCTCTTCCCTGACCTCGCTGCCTTTCCCACTGTCGCTGACCTCATTACCCACCTCCGTGCTAGTGACGCTCGCTACCGCGCTGCCCTTCCTGCTGAGTTCTGCGCCGCCAACCCTCCTCCCATGTACATCACTCTCTACTTTCTTGTCACCCGTCTCCCTGAGTCCCTTCGTGTCGTTAGGGACCAGTTTCTCTCTTTCTGTCCCACCACCCTCACTGTCGACCTCCTTGAGGAGTCCCTGCTAGCGGCTGAGAAGAGCATAGTCGCTGTAGGGGCCTCTCGGGGTGACCCTCGCACCCCCATCTTTGAGGGGTGTTCTCCTTCCCCCCTGCTGCCCTCTGTCGCCTCTGCCGCTGCGGCCGACCTCGCTGGTTTTGAGTCGGTCGGTGCGGCGTCTGCCCCCAGCGGTAGACGCCGCTCTGGCAAGGGCAAGGGGGGCAAGGGAGCGGGTGGAGCTAGAGGAGGCAGTGGCGGAGGAGGTGGGGGTGGCGGGGGGAGTGGGGGTGGCAGTGGAGGTGGTGGCGGGAGTGGAGGTACTGGTGGAGGCGGTGGAGGCGGAGGTGGCGGCGGAGGCGGTAGCGGAGGAGGCGGGGGCGAGGGTACCAGTGGGGGCGGTGGCGGTGGAGACGGGGGCGGTGGTGGAGGCGGGAGTGGCGGTGGCGGCGGGGGTCGGAGTGGCTCGTCCCAGCGGAGCAGCTCTGGGGGTGGTCAGCGCCAGCAGCAGCAGCAGCAGCAGCGCACTCGCACCGTCCCCGCCCCTCAGCAGCTCCGTGAGTGGTACTTGCAGCGTCAGCGTGGTGGTGCGTTTGGTCCCTGCCCCTACGTTCTTCGCACCGGCGACCGTGCGGGGGAGAGGTGTGGAGGCACCCACACAGCCCACCGCTGCTTTGGCCGCCTGACCGATGCCTGGCGTCAGCAGTTTCCGGAGGCCGCTGAGATCCCCCGCTGGGGGGAGCTGTCTAGGGCTGGTGTAGCCGTTTATGATCTTGACTTTGATGCTATTCTTTCTGCTATGTATGTTGTGACTGGTAGTGATGAGGATGACTGTTACTGGTGTTTCCCGCCCGACCCGGGCATTGGTACTGCTGCGTCAGGTACTAGTGAGGCTGCTGCTCTAGGTGCCAGTGCGTCTGTGCTCTCAGGTACTGGTGAGTCTGCCCTCTCAGGTACTGTGTCGGCTTCGGCCTCTCACACCTTCACCCTTGACTCTGGAGCTTCTCGCTCCTTCTTTCGGGACCGCACTACTCTCACGCCGCTGAGTCGGCCGGTTGCGGTGTCCCTGGCTGACCCCTCTGGGGGGCCTGTCCTGTCTCGCTTCTCCACGGTACTTCCGTGTCCGGCGGCCCCCTCTGGCACCCTGTCTGGTCTCTACCTCCCCTCGTTCTCGACGAACCTGGTGAGTGGTGCTGACCTACAGGATGCGGGTGTCCACCAGTTCACTCCTGCTCGTCA